TGTGAGCCGACCCTCCCATTGGATGTTTATGGCGAACAGACACTGGTGTCCGGCGTCCAGTAGCACCTGTGCTATACCTATGGCTGCATTCACGTGTCCGATGGCGTCGATCGGCACGAATAGGACTTTCAATTTTTGGGCCATTTTCGGATGAAATATTTATTTTGCAAACAAATTATTTATAAATTTCAATTATTTTTGATAAAATTACTAAAACTTATTTAAACACTTATAATAATAAATTACTATAAATTATAAAAATGTAAAATATTTGATGTGTTGTTAAAAATACTTATGAAAACACGTTTCTTCTCTATAACTCAAAGCGTAAATGATTTGTTTAATTTGTGGGCCAAGACTTATAATATAAGTCTTATATGGGTAATTTTTAGGGGTTATTCAAATAGCATGTGCGGGCTGATTAAGAGAGAGGATAGACACTATGAGTACAGTAACTAAAACTATTCAAGGGTGTTAATATCTTTTGTAGAAATCATTACAAACTTTATGAATTATATGATTCCTAGTCTAGTACAGTATCAGCTATACTATTTTAACTTAATTTACTTGTGAGTGATAAAATATTGTACAGTACTGTTTATGGAGTGTATAATCAGTGCAGAACCTGATAAACAAACAACATACATAGCAAAATTAATAACATATAAATTGTAATACTTTTCAATGAACTGAGACTTAAAATGTTTAATATACTAGATTTTTAAGAAATACAAAAGGTACCCTATCAACTTTGCTTAATTATTATCTGTGTGTTTATAATAATACTAGTAAACTCACATTAAAACAAAGTTTTCAGTTTTGTTTCGTATTACTAAAAAATATTTGTATAAACACTTGTCAGGCAAATTGAATGACAGGTATTTACCATTATCTACGAACTTATCTTTATAAAAAATCATGTGTTATTTATTGTAAACTTAAGTGAAATTCTAGTACAGTATAAGGCCTTGTGTCCAATTTTATTTATTATACTTATTTCATATATAATTTTGCTTATTTTAGATTTTATAATTAGATATTTTATAGAATATAAAATTTATACTGAATTATTTTATATAAAAAATTATAATTGGTTTTTCTATTGATGATCAAAACGATTTTAAAAAAGGAACCTGGTTTATAACAATAATTGTTAATAATATAAATAATAATAATGAAGTTAATATTTAATTTTAAAAAATGAATTTAAATGCACTTAACAATATTTTGATGATTAAACAAATATATGTTAATTTACAGATAAGTTTTTATATATTAATAGTTTTAATCTTACAAAAACATTTTTGAAATAAACATATCTATCATAAATAAATTTATATTTTTTATTAAATTGAATATTATTTATCATAACTTGTGAAATTAAATAAATTAATTTGTATTTGCGATAATAATGCTAACAATCAATATCTTGTAAATAAAAGGTTACAATATTTAATGTTGTTACATAAAACTAATAAAATGCTTGCTGAAAACTATATACCGGTAATATTAATTGAAAAGATAAATCAATAGATATTTGTATCTATCTCTTGTGTACTGTATGTTATATGTTTAATGAATTGTTCTTGATAAAGTATCAAAAGTTGTAAAACACTTTTTAAAATTACAAACTTCATATTAAACTTACTAAGTATACCTTACTCATTTAATTCGTTTAAATACAACTTCAAAATCTGATGGAAACTGAAATATCAGACCTTTAGGATCTGGCTCAATAGTAAATCTATCACTGGCTAATTCAATACGATAGTCCTTGGTCAACTGCAGAAATCTGACCAATGTGACAAATAGGTCGTTCATGCCCAATTGCTCGCCCACACAGATTCGACGTCCCGTTCCGAACGGCATAAACGCGTTGGCATTTATTTTACAAAAATCACCATGAGCATTTAAAAATCTATCCGGGTTAAATTTTTTTGGTTGGCTCCACACATTTTCATCCATTAACATGCTATTTAAGTTTACAATGACCATGGTGTCAGTTGGAATATTATATCTGATACCTATATAAAATATTTAAATTTTATTACTGTATATATTAAATCTAATTTAAATATATTGGTATTTTATTTTACAAGGGTCTAAAATATTACATTTATGATAAATCCAGTACTAATATATTTAATATATAATTATATTTGCTAAACATAAGCTTAAAACGACAATCATTTCTATTATTTCTATTAACATCTTAAGCCCTTATTTTTTAACTCCTTTTCACTGATATTCAATAAACTATTGAAACACTAAAGTCTTAATATAAACATAAGCGTATTATTGTAATTAATAATTTAAGTTATTAAAAATTAATAAGTACCAAATTGAACATGATCCAATGCTCTATGAGGTAGAGTAAACGCTAATGGTGACCGGTAACGTAATGTCTCACTAATGTATGCCAGTACATAAGGTAACCTAGACTGGTCATTAACGTGTGGCATACTATCCCCAAGTACTCTAGCAATTTCATCTTGCAATTTATTCTGTAATTCCGGATAATAAGCCATTAATAATAGCATCCATTGAAAAGTAATATCTGATGTCTCGACACCCGCTATATTTCAAGAAATTATATTACCTGTGTTATTTATATATTTATGTCTTACCTATAAAAAGTTCAATTAAGACCGTGGAC